ACAATAATGACACATTATTATTTGAATAATGTTAAACATAAAAAATAAAACACTTAAAAAACAAAAAAAAAATCGTGAAAACATAAAAAGGAGACTCTATATTTTTAAAATGTACAGGTACCCCGGCTTAAGATGTGGAGCATGTACCCTGAACCCATGATGGATATCGGAGGCTCCATCGTGTCCTCCTTCAATATAAAATGGTCATTACAAGTTTTTGTATTGCAAAATTATCAAAACACACAAATACACAAACTATTTAAAGAAAGTCCATTTTCAAGTTCGCCCTATAAAAATATAGGATTTATATTCGATAAAGAAAAACGTTTCGAAAAACTTCTTAATCTTTGAAGTACGTTCACGTTCAAATTACTCCTTCAAATTACCCCGCTGTATAGATATACAGTTAACCGTAATTTAGATTTAATAATCGGCGAACCGGCTTGAGGCTTTGGTTAAGGCGTTTGAACACTATATTCGCTTTCGCGTGCATACAGGCCAATAAGTCGGAATCGAGTTAACACACTTCCAGTTGTCTAATCTCTGTTCTGGAAAACGATTTGACTTTGTACGCTTCTTTTCTATGTTTTGCATGGAAATATTTTCAATTATTTTTTTCTCCGTTTAAGTACGCGTTTCTTTTAAGAAAAAAAAAAGGTAAACCGTTTCCCCCCCCCGCTTAAGTGCTTTTATTTAAAAAAAATGGCGTCGAAAATTAAAAAAAAAAAAAAAAAATGACCGCTTTTGTGTACAGACAACTTAATGATGACACCCCTCCGCGTAATAATTACGCAGGTAACGCGCGTCGGTTTTCAGCGAAAACAGCTGCCCGCGGCACTCTATTTACGTAAATCGCCCTCGTAAGTCCGCGGCCCCGGGGTCGTACACTCGTCCGCGTGACGTCAGACCGGAATCGGTGTACGATTTCGCATTATAATCGTTCCGCTTTCCGCCGGTGTCCTTGCCACACGCATTAAACATCGCGCGTATAATATACAGTCGCACACGAGCCACTCGAAAGACCGATCGCGCGCACGGATTTTTTTTTTTTTTTTTTTTTTCTCGGCCAGAAACTTTTATAACGAGCGCGCGCACACAACACAATAATAATAATAATAATACTGGTGTATATGTTTACATGTTTTATTTTTTTTCAACATCATCATCATCATCGTGATGATGATAATAATGGCCCGAACGGCCGTGTGCGCATGTAATCATTTGAGCTGGTCCTCTCGACCCCTATCGCACGCACAATGTTATATATGCATATAGGCGTACAATTCGGTCCGCGAACCGTATTACACACCGTCCGCGGGTAGGTGTATAATACGGTACGCCGTGACTGTGTGAGTTCGACGCGTGGAAAACTTCGAAAAAAAAAAAAAACCCCATTTAAATTTACCCAAAAGCGATTTCAAAAAAAACCGCGCGAAATTCCGAAAATGCGCATTTAAAATTCCCGAAAGTTCTCTGGCAGACGCGATTAAAATTTTTGATACAAAATATACACGCTGACGCGTCTTGTTCGATGAATGATTCGTATATTTTTCGATGCATCCGAATTGTATGCCCCTTTAGAAAAAAAAAAAATTTGCATAAACACACTGTAGGCCTTTAAAAACGCACATATACATCTAAATCGCGTGTCGTACTTCAAAAGCCTGTCCAAACTGCACGCCGTTTTAATCAAAAATTAACTACTTAAATTCTGTAACGTTTCCTTTCTCACTTTAAATGGACTTAAGACTGTCAGCAGCTAAATGTATACGAAAACAAAATTGTGAAATTACACTAATTTTTTTTTTGTTTTAATCAGTATAAACAACATTTATTACGCAGTCGAAAAAATATTTTATTAAAATTTATCGAAAATATATTTATTAATTATAATTTTAGATTCTGAGTGGAGCGAATAAGCTTACGGTTTTACAGAGGTGTTTCTTTTTTTTCTTTTTCTGTGGACAACTTTTCTACCAGAGGACATGCTCCAACGTGTAACACCTTTTTTAAAAGGAATCGGTGTGGGAAGGTACCTTGAAGAGGTCATTTTTTGATTTTCTCAAGATTTTTCTAATTAAATACGAAAACCCCCCCCCCCCAAAAAAAACTGGGAAAATGTATGAATTATATTTGTATAATATTACGATTTTTTTTTCTGTGGATAACTTTTCTACCAGCAAATTTGTTCCAAATTTTAATAATAGTAATTTTTCTGAAAGGAAATTTCACTGTGGAGGTACTTTAGAAAGGTCGTTTTTCGATTTTCTCCGGAAATTTTTTAACAAATGTAAAAATTGAGAAAAAACATGGGAAAACCAGGAAAAACGTAAGAAAACGGGGGAAATCGGTACAACATTAAACGAATATTATTAAAGAAAATAAATAGAGCCCATTTAATTATTTTACTATAATATGTTGATATATATTGTTGACGAATCATCACTATCAACTGAACTCTGCTCAGAATCGTTTTTCGTAAGCAATGGTTTATCGTCGCTTACAGGTATACATTAATTTACCTAGAACAGCGGTTGCTTCCGTCTCCATTATCCTAGGACGTCTTTTTTTTAGAACAAAGTCCACAGCTACTGAGACCATTGGACAAACATTATTGTACATTATTACATATTATTATACATTATTCAAACAGTTAGTATGCTAAATATAATTCGATTTTTCTGAGTAGTTTAGATTTGTGAAGAAATTCCAGGGCAGATTTGATATTGCACGGATCTGGGTTTAGTGATTCGAAAAGTTAATCCGGTATGCCCGATTCTCTTCGTTTTCTTTTCGTAACTCCGACATTCTGCGAGGATGTGTTTGACGGTTAAAGGGGTGCAAACTGGAGGATTTTCTCTCTTCATGAGGTGTTAATGAGTGATATAGGTGTGTCCGATCTTGAAGCGGGTGATGAATGTCTTCTGTTTTTTAGTGATGTTTTCCGGGAAACGGCAAGGGTGGTTCTTTTGATCTCATGTAATTTGGTTGACAGATTTATCCGTTTTCTTTCCCTTAGTTCCCTTAGTTTCCCACCCGGTTAGGTGTGTGTCTTTGACTATAATTCTTTTAACATTCTGGTGTGAGAAGTACAGAGTTATTAATTATAATTGCTTATTATGTATTATAGAAAAGAAAATGTTACAGCCACTACACAGTTTTTCAAGAAAAAAAAAAAAAACCCAACAAATCAGAGAGAAAGTATGTTTTTTCTCCCTTTTATAAACAATTTATAAAAGTCTGAGTGTTTGTGAAAAAAAAACACGAGGTTAGCATTTTGTTTTTTTTGAAAACTAACTGTAAGTACGGGTGCTCCGCAGGGTCATTGTATCCAACTTGAATTTTTACGAAACAAATAACGTTTACGGTGTAAAAACATCAAAGCTCGGGACGAGAATAAAAAAAAAAAAAAATAAAAAATGAAAATATCACAACGATTGAACGACCGCAGTACACCCACCAAACTACCCACTCGGTTACCTACCCGCGAGACGCCTTGAACTGAGGTTAACGCCGCAGTTTTTACCGCGAACTCGATTCGGCGAAACAAACAATGATGTTTTTTCGTTCGTATTTTTCTGCGGTATTTTATTCATTTTTTTTTTTTCTTTTTTATTCCCCCCGCAAAAAGGATTTACGACACAATAGCGTTTTCGTTCACCCGCGAAAAAACGTTTGTCCCCAATCGAAAGCGTACACGATATTTGTACAATATCAGTAAGCGTACGTCGCGTGCGCCGTAACGGAAAACCGCGCGTTCGTTCCGCCCGAAAGAACGCGCGCGCGCGGTAATAATGTTCCGTTTTTATAACAATAACAACAACAATAATACCTGTGCCCGGTAAATGTTACACGGAAACAACCGCGAAAGCACAACGCGGGGCGCCCGCAATGGCGCGGATAACATTGTTCAACATTATTACGTTTTTACAAACGAAAAATATTATAAACGTCGCGCGGTACGCACGCGTAATCGGCCGGCGCGGCGGTCGCGGTCCGTTCCGACCGCGTTCTCGTCCGGGCGGCCACGCACGCCCGTACGCGCCGTAATGCACGTTCGCGTAGAGCGGGCGCCGATCCGGGCAAATAATCCGTTCGACGTTCCCGGCGAGAAATCAGCGGGCCCGCGTCGATACTGTTATCGTTATTTATTTATTTTTTTTTTTTCTCTTACGAATATTTCCGACAGACGCGTGTTTGCGTTCGCGAAACGTTTTCGAATATTGCGCGGAATCGAACCGTCGTTACGGGGGGGGGAGGGGAGGGGGGAAAGAAACATAACGAACGGGAACGATTTCGTCGGAAAAAACCGTTCGCGCGCGCGTTGCGGAAAACGAAAAACGAAAAGATTCGGTTAAAAACGTTTTGAAATCTCGCGGCGAAAAATTTAAATCGAAAAAAACTACATTACGCTCGGCTTTATTTTCGCCGCCAATTACGGCTGTATATTGTATTATTATACGGCAGACGTTTCGATGTACTCGGCGCTAAATTATGCAGCACTTCACCGCCTTACATTACGAATCTCCGATTAAATTATTTAAAAAAAAAAAAAACTCTCCCATTTGCTATTGCGAATCTCTATAAATGTTAAATATCAACTGTTTAAATACTAATTTAGAAATTGTCTACTGTTTGTATACTTACGTCTGGAGAAGCGGTCGATGCGTTTAAAATGCATTATTTGAAAGTACCCAAGTCGAAGTGGGAAAAGTGTCTTGAAATCGATTCAAACGCGTGCCAACGCATTGGTCTTCATAGAGACAATTTTTAAATTACAATAAATCCATTTTAAATAATGAATGTCATACGGGATTTGTTTATCGCGAAACTTAAATGGCAATTCTCATATTGCATTACTTATACCAGTAAATTAAAAATAAAATACTTATCAAATAAAAATAAACAAACCAAAAACAAATATTATTTTGTTCAAACTTAATGCAAACATTGTATATTCCTAGTTATTAGTAAAACGAATTAAACATATTCATATAACCGCCAATGACCATAACACGTTGAATACACCGGTTCTCGTCCGATCACTGAAGTCAAGCAATGTCGGACGTAGTCAGTACTTGGATGTGTGACCGTCTAGGAACATTAAGTACGTATAACACGAGTCGTTGATTTTTTTTAATTAGTCTTTTATCATTTATTTGTATAGACTATCAATAATCTGTTGACAAATCAAAATCATTGTATTACTCTTAAAGTATATTAAAACACGTTTTATCGAACTTTGCCGAGAATTAATTTTCGTTAGCTACGATCGGCTCCGAAATACCCGGGAGGTAATGCGTGTAAAAATACGAACATTTCCGAGTTCGATTGACAATTTCTGTGCATTGAACTGAACTCCATTCAGAATCGTTTTTCGTTCGATATCGCGTTCTGCCTATTAATTGACTTTTCAACTAACTTTTATAATTATAATGTGTAAAGTATGTCCGCGGTTATTTTTATGTGCGTATAATACTGTAGTCTTCGTCTTTACGTGTCAGTCAGTTGTATTCGAATTTCATTCTTCTCTCGAAATTCAGCAATTCCAATTACATTGTCATTTAATAATTGTTTTCCTAGGAAATTATCCTTCTCTTACTGGTAACATTCGGCATTACAATAAACGGCTTAATGCAGCGTGTACCCGCAGTCACAGTCCACGTCTATGGTTATTCCACATTTACGCATGTTTTCCTTAGTCCTTACGGTTTTCGATCGTTAATATCCTTCCATATAAGTAATGTCCTTTGAAATGGCGCGTTTCTGTTAGACGACCCCGTGCTTAACGGTTTTCTAGATTTTTGTCGACTAATAATTTATACATGGCTAAACGTAGGGCGTCTGTGGTCATTTGTTTGTTTTTTCTCTCCCCCATTGATTCGAAACCTCAAAGCGATGGCCCCGGAAACAGCGAGTGCACGGGCACGTACAACATCGTGTCAAGACGATGTGCACAATGCGAAATTCGCCGGCCAATCCCACCGATCGCGATCGAGTGCAACGTAAAACGGTTCTTTTCGGGGCCAAGTCTGACGGCCGGCGTCCGTGAATATTGAACGTCCGACGTCGGAAAAATAGCCGTTTACGAATATACCGCGCGCAGGCGCTGAAATCGCGCAGGTAGTTCGCTCTAAACGTCACGAGCACGTCGATCGGCGACGGCGTCCGTTCTCCCCGTCTGTGGGGACGCGGACGCCGCGCGCTTTTGTTTGCCAAGCGACGAGGGTAGGCCGCGAGATAAATGTCTGACGGGTCGTCCCGTGTGCCCAATACGCGGTATCGTACGACCGGGCGGATACCGGCGATCCTGAACAACGGCCGGGCTCGCGCCGGCGTTAAGTGGTCGCGAAGGGTTTGTTGCAACAGGACGATAATATATGTGTACACTATACGCGCGCACACAGTATAACAATACGCGCGAACAAAGGCCAATAGGAAACCGTTTAGAGAGAGAGAGAGAGAGAGAGAGAGAGAGAGAGAGAGAGCAGGAGCAGGAGCAGGAGCAGGAGCGGCACTGGCGCGGTAGCAGTAGCGGCGGCGGCGGCGGCGGCGGCAGCGGCAGCAGCAGCAGAGGAACACAGTTTAATAGTATAATGCGAAACACAATGCTCGCGGCGGCGACGACGTATTCAATAGAGTCGAACACACTATATAATATAATAATAATAATAATAGTATAAATGCGCGAGTGTGCGTTCGATATACGCATATGTGTGTGCGCGCGCGCGCGCGCGCGTGTATATAGTAATAATAATACGTACAATATTATGCTCCTGGCAGCCACTGTTATGAATCACGGCCGCGTACACGAAATTTATGTATATACCGCGCGCGCGGTTAGCGGGGCGGGTAAATATAATATTATAATATAATATGCGCGCGGCGTGCGCGTGTGTATAATATAATATATAGTTTTAATAATAATAATAATAATAATAATAATAATAATATTCTAAAACAATCCGAGACAATGGCAGACCTAAAACTCCGGCGCGTTCTATATAATATAATAATATCTCCGGCCCCGGCCGCGCCGCGGCATTAGCACCGCACTACATACGCGTACGTATACAAACACAATAGCCGTCCCCCCCCCGCCGAACCCCGTCCGCGTGTTATTATTGTATAACCGCTAATGCCCCCTACCACCCCCCCCC